TGATAAAATCTACCATTTTGGAGTTATCGACAGTGAAAGTTTGGATTAATTCGCGTCGCGGGCAGTCATTACTGGCATTGTTTGCATACATTCGCTACAGAATAGGTATCATTGCGCAAACTAAGCGTGTGTACGTGAATAGTTCTTGTGCGCAGTAATTCAGACAGATTTAAACAAAAAAGGTCAGTTTCAAGCTTAGCTTTCCCTAGTCTTCCACGTTCAGCTTTCTGCAGCGAATGTATGCAAACAACGCAAATAATGGCTACCGCCAACGACGGGATTGAAACCCAAATTCCACTGTCGATAACTCCAAAATGGTAGATTTTATCAAAATTATCAAGCCAGATACAGAGCGACACAGGCATAAAGGCCGGAGCTTTGTGAATATGGCAATGAAGATGAGGATAATAGTCCGAATAATGTAAATAATGCAAGTAATCATAATTACTCACCTCTGAGATATAGACAGATATGGAATGGTTTGTAAAGAATTTTATCCATTCACTTCAACTGATTTTCAACCAGTCGCAACTGGGGGCAAAATTGGGTGGTGGATATTGTGTAAAGTTTAGGACTGGATCTGTGCAATTCACAAGAATATAGTCAAACGCACGCCCTTTCCTGAAAATGAACTGTCATCACTCCGTGGGATAATGAACAATGATGCTCCACTGGTTACATTAGTCGAACCTTTCCCTGATTTGGCCGTGTAAAGAAGACTGCTCTTAAATCCATCTCGTGACTCTATTACTGTAATAGTAACTATTGTATTAATAAGAATAAAATTTGGTTGAATATATTTTATAATAATTTAATTTCTGCTTTTTGGCGTGTTCGCTATCATGACGATATAATAATATCTCAGTGATAATATATTTAAAAAGCTTTATCGTCAAGAATAAAGAAACTCAGAAATTAATATTAATAAGGCAATGTCTCCGTTCATTGTAACATCGCTAACAACTATCAGATTTTTCTTTGCGTGTTTGGCTCAAATGCTGAGAGATCCCAAATTAAAAATATTAAATTTTCTATGAAATAACGATATCTGTAAAATAGGTGGGTTATCCCACTTGACTTCCTAAAAACCGTCGCTAGGTGACACTCATTAAGCCTAGAAAAAAGATGATCATATTCTTTTTCATTCTCTTTCCTCTTTTAAAACTCTAAGCTGTAGTCGCACGTGGGGTAAAAAAATGTCTCCCACTGGGACAAGCTCAGATTCAATGTTGTGACTTATCCCTCGTGAACTTTTGTATTCAAACACACACGTGTCTATCACGTAGGCTTACACAAACTTCACACACATACAAACACACATTCGCTAATTTAAATGCTTTATGTAACCAGCAGAGGAGGCACGGTGGAGTAATGGATAACGGCTCGGATTGAAGAATCAGAGGGCAGAGTTCGAATTCCGGTCGAATCTGTTCACTTACATTACTTGGGAAAGGTATGAATCCTGTTCCTCTCCAAGACAGACCGGGTTCTATAGCCTTCGTTGGCAACTGGTCTACCGCAGAAAAATGGCAACCTACTGCGGGAAAAAATCTGCCTCGTCAGTCATGTAACGAAAGATAGATAATCGCCTAAGGATGTATCACGCATGACACATCACTGACTGGACCAGTTTTCTTCTTTTATTGTAACACTTCTCTTAATAAATGCATTTTTGTTTATTTTCTATACTGTTTTGTCTTACTCATTTATAACTCGGGCTCACATCCGAGTCCGCAATCAGGCTTACGGGAAAAATAATACAAGTAGACACGTGTTTTCTGCATTCCCGTCACAAATATTACTATTGTTTTGTAAAATAATATTTTTACATTTTTTTACATAGAAATTTAGCTGATAAACACGGAGTTGCTCCCCTTGTTTAATTTTAATTTGAGAAAAATTAATTTGAAAATAGTTATAAGCATGGAAGTAGTTTAAATAGCCTGGAATTTAGGAGCTTGTAAAGTCTTTCTTGGGGTGAATTGGCTGTATCATCAGTTCTGTTATTCTTGTTTGCCATTTTCACTATTGACGATTGTAAGGCGGCTTTCGTTCAAACTTTTATGGACACGTTACAGCTTTTGAACATATAAATATAAATTTTGTGTTCCAGTGCAAGAACCCTAACTATATATAATGCAGCGAAGCAGTTGACCCTGTTTTACTCCGGTGAGGTAGAACTGTACTGGTTCACGGCCAACATCCAACTCTAACATATGGCTCCAAAAGCAGCATGGGCATTATATAGGTTTGCCGGCTAAACTGTGTGCGGGTAGTAAGAAGATTTTTCCCGATCTGAGCGATGAAGGGGGACGCCTCTCTCCATCTCACTTGTGTCAAGCGACTATTGGCCAATCGCAAGCCTGGGTGTAGGAGCTGGGCCTCAGAGGTCAACGGATTTAATGGTGGGCGGAGGATCTTCTGAATACATGACTGATAAGGCAGATATTTTCCCGCAGTAGGATGGCATTTCTTTCTGCGGTAGACCAGTTGCCATCCAAGGCTATAGAATCCGGTCTGTCTTTATATTTATCCATAGCTGGGAGAGGAAAAGAAGAGGATTCATTCCTTTCTCAAGGATATTAGCACGTAAGCTAATGTAATGGATTCAACTGGAAAATCAGTCAATCAGCAATGGGCCATGCGTGATAGACACTTGGGCGATCATGCTTCTTTCGATACATGACTGACGACGCAGATTTTTCCCGCAGTAGGTTGCCATTTCTTTTTGCGGTAGACCAGTTGCCATCCAATGCTATAGAACCCGGTCTGTCCTGCTATCTACTCATAGCTGGGAGAGAAAAGAGGGTTCATACCTTTCCCAAGGGTATTAGCATGTAAGTGAAGGTAATTGATTCAATCGGAAAGTTAGTCAGTCAGTTATACACACTTAGGCGATCATGTATCTTTTGATACATGACTGACAAGGTAGATTTTTCCCCATAGTAGGTTGCCGTTTCTTTCTACGGTAGACCAGTTGCCATCAAAGGCTATAGAACCCTGCTATCTAGCCAGAGAGAGAAGAGTGTTCATACCTTTTCCAAGGGTATTAGCATGTAAGTGAAGGTAATGAATTCAACTGGAAAGTCAGTCATTCAGTTATGTGTCATACGTGATACACAAGTAGGCGATCATGTATCTTTCGATACATGACTGACAAAGCAGATTTTTTTCTCTACAATAGGTTGGCATTTCCTTGTGCGGTAGACCAGTTGCCATCCAAGGCTATAAAAGCCGGTCTGTCCTGATATTTACCCATAGCTAGGTTGAGAAGAAGATGATTCATACCTTTCCCAAGGATATTAAAACGTAAGTGAATGTAACGGATTCGAGTGGAATTTGAACTCAGCTCTCCGATTCCTCAATCCGAGCCGCTATCCATTACTCCACCGTGCCTCTGTTTTTTTTTGTTTTTTTTTACTAAAACCAAACTTTATGATTTCAATACAGTAACGGTGTCGGTCATAACTAAAAGGGGGTGAAAATGGAAAAGAACTACGTTAGTTTAATGCTGAAAAGAGAAAATTAATACTAAAAGAAAATAAAGGAGTGAGTTAACCGCTTATCGCTCCTCACTAGTCAGAATTTGATCGAGGAAAGTAAGATATATTTTTTTTGCACAACCGACTAAAAAAGAAAATTGGAAAAGAAAATATACGCTTATCAATCATATAATGAGACGAGAATAGTTTTTTTTTTATAAAAATATGAGCTTCAGTCATTCCGACTGTTTTCCTATTGAGTTACTGAAAAAAGTTTCAAGAGTTTTAAAATGTTATCACACAACAGATTGGTTCATTCTATTTTTAATTTTTTATGCTTATCTGGCCACTACAATTTGTTATTTATCTTAGAGACCCTCATCATCTGCAGTTCTTACCTTATTATCTTATAAACTCATTCAGTAACCCTTTGCCTTGAGTTGCTCTTAGGCATTGTATCGTGCAAACAAAACATTTATGGCATCTTTAAAGGATAGGTGTTTCTCCTTCTGCTGTTCATGTCTTGAAATATCTTGTTCTTTTTTTTTAGTACTGCTCAGTGAGAGCTAGTCCTATTTGCACAGATTCTGTGTCTGTACTACCTGTCCCTGGGGTTGAACTCATAATTAACACACTACAAAATTTATCAACCAACCCTAGACTTGAACAGGTTAAGATGGTAGTGTTCCATAATCACCCCCACTGGCAGATATTTCCACAAAGAAACGGTTCGTGAGAAGAAGCTGTTCGAGTGGAACTTACTCCTTACTTATGAGTCGTTTACCTTCAATGTATTAGGCGTGACGGGTATTGAGTGTTATGGTTAAGGTTGGTGGAACTAAGAAATCTAGTCCGCCAGAACATTTCTCATGGAAATAGCGATAGAGTAGCAGGCAACGTTTCATCTTTGGGAATCGGTGGAAAATAATTAATCACCCCCAAGACCGCGTAGACGCTTTTGAACTCCATCAAGACTAGAAAGTGAAGACTGGGTAGCTGCAGACCAGATATGGTAGCCGTACCCCATTTTCAGGCCTAATCTGGATCATTTGAAGGTAAAGCATAGCGGAAGGAATTACGCCAGAGCGGTACAAGGAACCTCTTATTTTATCAGTATCTTAGCGCGTTTCTCTTGACGTCTAGGGCGAGCTTAAGTCCTATTAAATCGTTCAAAGAAAGGGGCACCCTTGAGAGAAATCTCGTTCAGTTACCATAGACGAAAATTTAGGGCCTGCACGGTTATAATATGGAAAACTTTCGAATATGAAGAATATAAATTCATTTCCTCAAAAGGTTATTGTTGTGGCCTTCTTAGGGCCAGAAATGAAGACACAAGAGAGGAATTGAGTTAAACAAATATATTAACAGAAACAATAATACAAACATATACAAACGAGAGTGTTACAGCAAGGATGTTCGGTCCGACTGTCAGAGCTGACTGCTGGAAACTTCCATCTCTCCAAAAGGAAGTAGCTGCTCCTATTTATAATTAGGATAGTTCATGCGTGCGTGGGTAAATTATAATAATAGATAGATAGATAGATAGATAGATAGATAGATAGATAAAACTAAGTTTCTGTTGTGGCCTTCTTAGGGCCAGAAATAAAGACACAAGAGAGGAATTCAATTAAACAAATATATTAACAGAAAAAGTAATACAAACATATACATATGAGAGTGTTACAGCAAGAATGTCCGACTGTCAGAGCTTACTGCTGGAAACTTCACACACCAGAAGGCAGTACCTGCTCCTGTTTTTAGCTGGGAGAGTCCATGCGTATGTGGGTAAATTACCATAATAGATAGATAGATAGATAGATAGATAGATAGATAGATAGATAGAACCAAGTTTCTGTTAAGACCAGAAATAAAGACAAAAGAGAGGAATTGAGTTAAATAAATATATTAACAGAAACAATAATACAAACATATACAAATGAGAGTGTTACAGCAAGAATGTTCGGTCCGACTGTCAGAGCTGACTGCTGGAAACTTCCATTTCTCCAAAAGGCAGTACCTGCTCCTATTTATAGCTGGGAGAGTCCATGCATGCGTGGGTAAATTGCCATAACAGTTATTTTCTAAGCTTAGCTTAGATGTGGCACAAGGCCGAAAGTAGGGGGCACCTCGGGAGGATTGAACTCACTTTTCAGTCGTAACTGATCTAGCCAGATAAGCTTGCTAACCATTATACCACATCAAGGTGCCCAATGCGAAAAGTCAGCATTCGAAATCCAGGCTTCCAACTTTGTGCCTGGATGGGTCGGATACGCAGCTCTCTCAGTCATAATGCAGACATCTTTATCTGTTATTTGTCAGCCATTGTAATTTTACTTACGTTCAGGCCACTTCGTAAAAGATCACTGGTTTGAAATTATCTGAGTGAATTTGTAATTAATAAATGTCACTGTATGTAAACAGGTAGGGGAGAATAGACTACTTCACTTTTTATTTTAATGGAAGAATAAGAATTAATTGGACCTAATTAATTGAAAGTTTTACAGATCATAACCCTGAATTTTCGTCTATCGCAGTGAACGAGCGTTCTCTCAAGGATGTCCCTTGCCTTGAACGACTAATAGGACTTAAGCTCACCATAGGCTTCAAGTGAAACTCGTATATATGATACATTGCTAAAGATTCGGATAAAATAAGGGGCCCCTTGTATCATTCTGTTAATTATGTGATTCCTTCCTCTACGATTTACCATGAGGTCTGTCCAAATTCTATCGTATCTAAATAATTTTAAATTTATAAACGTTCTCCAAATGCAGAATGAAGACGTTTAAGCGCTCTATTAGTTGTGAATCGTTTTAATTCTAATATTTCTGAGCTCAAAATTTAATAAATAATGATGGTCATAGCCAGACGTGGAAGTTTGATCTCGGGTCAATTGCATTTTGAATACACATCTGGTCAAAATAAACATTCAGAGTTACTAAGTCATGCTGCCATTTTTTTTTAAAGAAAAGAAAATTTGCGAGCTTGTAAATTATTTTTAAAAACGTTTCTATTATCTCATTACTAATTATGGAAAGTTTCCACAATAGTTATATCGGGAGGTGCAATAAAACATAAGCGATGATGGTTCTCCACAACGTCCAGTCCCTTGTAGCTCTTAGCAATGTTTGCCTTTTTCTATCTCTCCCAATCCCTGTCCTGTTAACCATTTACACATGCTCGTGCCTAACCGCTCGGCCACAAAGTTTATAAGCAGTAAATTCGACCTTGCCAATTGAACGATCCTTTGTGGCCGAACGATTAGGCACGTCAAGATAAATGACGGTTCCCTATAGGAAGCAGGTTCGAATCCTGTCAAAGGACGAATATTTTCTCTGAAAATTTCTTGGATATTCACGCCGGTAAATGTTATTTGATACTGTTTATTATAAACAGAGCATTTATTGAAATAATTGTATCTATAAAAAATGTTAAACATAAAAATATTTTAAATAATTGTCGGACTTTTTCCATTTCATAATGTATATGTTGCTATCTCAACATAAATACATATATGCAGCCGAAGCTGTGAACAGAGCGAAAAAAAGTAGTTCTAGATGTTTACTTACATCTTTCGTACTCTGGACCTAGTTGCATAAAGCTAACCACGAGGTAAACATTTGAATAATTCTATAATGTTTATAATAATTCTTTCGGCAAAGTTACTATTTTTTTCGATAGCTCAGTACATTTTTAAGGAAATAGAATTCAACATATTCTGTCTTATTTTCTTACCTGGCTTATATCAGAGGGTATCCCCCAGGCGAGGGTCTGCCGAAAAGTCTCGTCCGTTTTTACGTGGTCTATAGGGAATTTTTGCCCGACCCTACGGACTCGGATATCCAACTTTAAACACGGCCTTGTGCCACATCTAGCTGCGTGGGGCAGCGGGTAAATAATTATTTTGTCTTATTTTCTATAAAACGTTTTCGGCGTTATTTTTTTATAGTAACATGAAATATCAGACGATAACAATACTTATTATGAACGCCATAGGTTTTCTAAGTTAAGATTGGATTTTTACAAGGCAAATATGATTGTTTTGTATACAAAGACGATGAATTTAGAAATGAAAATTTATTAATACAACAATTGTTTATACAGGAAGCAATTGAAGTAAAAATAAATAACAAAAAGAAATATTTATTAAAATAAGATTTAGAACATTTTTATGCTAATCAGAAATTACAGTTAATGTTTTTAAAGCCATTTGTTAGTAATAAATAAATAAGTAAATAAATAAATAATTTAATTGAAAAACTGTAAATATTCATTAATTAATGCAACTGTTCTCATCTACTGATACAAGGTAGAGACACACAGACAAAAGGTTACTTAAATTCTTGTCATTATTATTTTTATTACTAATCGAATACGCGTTTCACAAACAGAAATGTTATGTTGCAATACAAGATCCCCCACTTCTTTGACAATTCTGGATAAACAACCTCTTCATCCAGATATATATTTTCTTAAATTCCTTTTATTATATTCCTGAGTACACTTGAACATTCTACTCTGGACATATCTCCACAGAATTGACCACGAGAGAAACAGTTGAATATGATTCCAATGTTTATATTATTGTTAATCTACTCAGCAAACAGTTTCCACTTCTTTAAATAATTTGTGAAGTTTTAAGAAAACCTAATTAACCAGATCAATTTAAGTTATTTAAATAATACCCTATTTTTTTTGTTTTGTTTCGCGCAACCAATTTATAATAATGTGAAATGGCAGATGACAATAATGATTTTGAACACTGTAGGAATTAAAATCAGTAACTAACATTTTCTGGTCTAAGATTATATAATTCTATAGAAATGTTAATATTTTCTTTTAATTATTTACGTCTGCTTCTAAAAAATACTTTTAAAAGTTAAGATGAAATTTAGCTTTTCTTTAAATGAAAACATTGACTCTTTTTAAATTAGGACCGAAATTTGACAAGGTAGATTATTCCTTTGCAACAACGATGAATTTAAAAAAATATTTATCGGCTTTTTATTTCTTTAAATGATGTTCGTTTTATTGCTTTAATTAAAACCACTGTTGCCGAATTTGTAGACAATCGCAAGAAAAGTGGAAATATCGGATGTAGACCCAAGCGACCAAGTTTTATTCGTTCAATCAGCATAATGGTTGCTGAAGACCTGATAAAAACAACAACGGATGTTGCCAAAAAGAATTGTGAGGTGAATGTTATTTTTTTAATTACCTCATCCCAACTAAAGCAATACAATCCACTAGGATGCAATTTCTGAAACACAGAGAGTACAATACAAGAACATGATTCAAGCTGACAGAAGATGACGATAGACAATGGATTTAATATTTTGAAGCTCTTAGTTGATAGGAAAGCAAGATGCTGGAAAAGACCTCCACAAACGAGAAGTGTGGAAGCAGAGAGTATTAGCATAGAACTTACGGTTAGAACTAGCAATTTCATTACTGAAATTATGAGACCTATCTGCCAATCTAGTATTGCGTTTGAAGTCGGTATAGCAAGGAGGAAAGCTCATCAGAGCAATTAGCATGAAAATACAGGAACGAGACATGGAAACTGTGTCACGGTTGTGGGAAAGTGAACTGAAGTCGAGATGTCAAGTCAGGACAGCTATCTCGCATATGTACAATTCTGTTGATTTCATATAAAGTTCAGTGCCATCAAACGAAGTTTGTGGTACATCGTAGTCTTCATTTTTTTGGTGGGGGGGATATTTTAATCGGAGCTTCTCCATTGTGGAATAAAATTGATTTGCGGCAAATGCAAAATTATATCCATTTGTTCAGGTGTTATATTTACGAATCCTTTGGCGAAGTACAAATCAGTTGACCGAATTCGCCTGAATTGCCAAACAGTTGAAACCAAGGTAGCGAAATAGGCTGATCTCACTCACACACACACACACACATATATATATATATATATATATATATATATATATATATATATATATATATATATATTCTAAATTATTATAATTTTACATACAGATTAAAAACAACTTACCCACTACTTGTTCTCCCTACGTAGTATTGAGTAATTTTTTTTTACCCGTAATTAAAAATTATAATAATTTTGAATTAATGCTGTGAACGTTAAAATTTATATTATTTTCGTTCTCATTACATGCATATATATATATATATATATATATATATATATATATATATATATATATATATATATATATATTTGGATAGCAATTCTTCTTTTGTACAGGTTTCATTAAAGAACACTGACAAGTTACTGCGAATACGATTTTATTTAATTTTTATTGTATTCGTACATGTTTGTCTTCCGTGGAAATAAAATGTATAAAAACTCTCCAAATATATGATAAAACCAAAAATCTTAAGCTATTATGTTAGCCATTGTCATAGATATATATATATATATATATTTTTTTAATTGATATATAAATTTTTATATATGTGTATCTAAAGTAATGGGAGTTTTTCTTTTAATTTTCCAAACACGGTCAAAAGCTTTGCAGCCGTGTACATAGTTGATATTATCAAGTGTTGACTTTTTCACTTTTTTTTTAATGCTTCCTTTATTTTATACGTTTTTTTTTAAAATGTGCATGAGGAAAGGGAAGCGAATGAATATATATATATATATATATATATATATATATATATATATATATATATATATATATATATATATATATATATATATATATATATATATATATATATATATATATATATATATATTGGAGGCATGGTGGAGTAATGGAAAGCGGCTTGGATTGAGCAATCCGATAGACGAGTTCGAATCCATTACATTCACTTACGTGCTAATACCCTTGGGAAAGGTGTGAATCCTCTTCTTCTCCCTCC